ACAGCCATTTATGATAAAAACTCTTAACAAAATGAGGATAAAAGGACATTACCTCAACATAATAATGGCCATGTACGACAAACCCACAGCCAACATCATACTCAATGGGGAAAAACAGAACACCATTCCTCTGCCAACAGGAACAACACAAGGATGCCCACAATCACCACTCTTATTCAACATAGTGCTGGAGGTTTTGGCCAGAGCAATTAGACAAGGGAAAAGAATAAAAGGGATCCAAATAGGGAGTGAAGAAGTGAAATTCTCACTGTTTGCAGATGTCATAATCTTATATAGAGAAAATCCTAAAGAATCCATTGGGAAACTATTAGAAATAATTAAAAACTACAGTAAAGTTTCAGGGTACAACATCAACTTCCAAAAACCAGTTGCATTTCAATACTCTAATAACGAACTTACAGAAAGAGAACTCAAGAATACAATTCAATTTACAACAGCAACAGAAAGAGTAAAGTATCTAGGAATAAATTTAACCAAGGAGGTGAAGGACTTATACAATTAAAACTATAAGACATTATGGAGAGAAATAGATGATTAAATAAAGAGAAGGAAAGAGATTCCATGCACATGAATTGGAAGACTAAACATAGTTAAAATGTCCATACTACCCAAAGCAATCTACAGATTCAATGCAATCCCAATCAGAATCCCAATGACATTCTTCACGGAAATAGAACAAAGAATCCTAAAATTCATATGGGGCAACCAAAGACCCCAAATTGCTAAAGCAATCCTGAGAAAAAAAAAACAAAGCTGGCGGCATCACAATCTCTGACTTTAAAATGTATTACAAGGCCATAGTGATCAAAACAGCATGGTACTGGTACAAAAACAGGCACACACATCAATGGAACAGAACTGAAAGATCGGAAATAAAATCGCACATCTACTGACAGCTAATCTTTGACAAAGGTGGCAAGAACATACAATCCAGAAAAGATAATCTCTTCAATAAATGATGTTGAGAAAACTGGACAGCCACATGCAAAAGAATGAAAGTAGCCCATTATCTCACGCCATACACAAAAAGAAATTCAATGGCTCAAAGACTTCACGATAAGTCCTGAAACCGTAAAACTCCTGGAAGATAATATCGATAGTACACTTTTTGACATTGAACTTAAAAGGATCTTTTCGAAAACCATGTCTTCTCAGACAAGGGAAATAAAAGAAAAAATAAAGTGGGACTTCATCAGACTAAAGAGCTTCTGCAAGGCAAAAGAAACTAAGATCAAAATAAAAAGACAGCCCACGAATTGGGAGAAAATATTTGCAAATGATATATCTGACAAGGGATTAATCTCCATAATATATAAGGAACTCACCCAACTGAACAACAAAAAAACAAATAGCCTGATCAAAAAATGGGCAAGGAATATGAACAGACATTTTCCCAAAGAAGATATACAGACGGCCAATAAACACATGAGAAGATGTTCAACATCACTAATCATCAAGAAGATGCAAATCAAATCTACACTTAGATATCACCTTATGCCTGTTAGAATGGCTATAATCACCAAGATAATAAATAACAAATGTTGGAGAGGGTGTGGAGAAGAGGGGACCCTCATACACTGCCGGTGGGAATGCAACTGGTGCAGCCACTATGGAAAACAGTATGGAGATTTCCCAAAAAATTAAAAATAGAAATGCCATATGATCCAGCCATCCCACTACTGAGTATTTACCCAAAGAACTTGAAATCAACAATACAAAGAGACTTAGGCACCCCTATTGTTCATTGAAGCATTATTCAAAATAGCCAAGACGTGGAAGCAACCCAAGAGCCTATGGACCGATGACTGGATAAAGAAGATGTGGTATATATATATATACAATGGAATACTATTCAGCCATAAAAAAGACAAAATTGTCCCATTGGCAACCAGATAGATGGACCTTGAGAGTATTATGTTAAGTGAAATAAGCCAGACAAAGACAAACACTATATGATTTCACTTATTTGTGAAACATAAACAAACTCATGGACAAAGAGAACTGATTAGTGGTTACCCAGGGGAAGTAAGGTGCAGGGAGAGCACAAATGGTGAAGGGCACAGTCATATGGAATCTGACAAAGAATAGTACACAGCTCAAATTTCACAATGTTGTAAACTATTATGACCGCAATGAAAAAAAGACTTGTAGAAGAAAACTGGGGGGAAAACTCCTTGACATTGGTCTTGGCTATGATTTTTTGGATATGACAAAAAAACCACAAACAAAAAAGCAAAAATAAACAAGTGGGATTACATCAAACTAAAGAGCTTCCACATAGCAAACAAAACAATGAACAAAATGAAAAGGCAACATAAAGAATGGGAGAAAATATTTGCAAACCATATATCTGATAAGTGGTTAATATCCAAGATAAATAAAGAACTCATATAACTCAATAGCAAAAAAAATAAACAATCTGATTTAAAAATGGGCAAAAGACTTGAATAGATATGTTTTCAAAGAATACGTACAAATAGCCAACAAGTACATGGAAAGGTGCTCAACATTACTAATCATCAGCAAAATGCAGATCAAAACCACAATGAGCTATCACCTCACAGCTGTTAGAATGACTATCATCAAAAAAAACAGGAGAAAACAAGAGTTGGTGAGGATGTGGAGAAAAGGGAAGCCCAGTACACTGTTGGTGGGAATGTAAACTGGTACAGGCACTATGGAAAACAGTATAGAAGTTCCTCCAAAAGTTAAAAATAGAACTACCATATGATCCAGCAATCCCAGTTCTGGGTATATACCTGAAGGAGATGAAGTCACTGTCTCTAAGAGATATCTGCACTCCCATGTTCAGTGCAGGATCATTCACAATAGCTACAACGTGGGAACAACCTAGGTGTCCATGGACAGATAAATGGCTCAAGAAAATGTGGCATGTATATTTACAATGGACTAATATTCAACCATAAAAAAGAAGGGAATCCTGCCGTTTGCTACAACATAGCTGTATCCTGAGGGTATTATGCTAAGTCAAATAAGTCATGCAGAGAAAGACAACTACCGTATGAATTCATTTCTAAGTGGAATCTGAAAACATTGAACTCATAGAAACAGAGTAGAATGGTGGTTGCCAGGGGCTGAGGGGTGGGGAAAAGGGGGAGATGTTGGTAGAGGGTACAAGCTTCCAGTTATAAAATGAATAAGTTCTTGGGATGTAATGTACAGCAGTGGTGACTACAGTTAACAATATTGCATTGTATACTTTAAAGTTGTTATGAGAGTAGAATTTAATGTCCTCACTAGACTGACAACAATAACATAATGGTAATTATGTGAGATAAAGGTTGTGTTAACTAACCTTAGTGTGGTAAACATTTTGCAATATATAGGTGTATCAAATCATCACACTGTACACCTTAAACTTACACACTGTTATATGCCAATTATATCTCAATAAAGCTGAAAAAAATTTAAAAACAAATTTAATGGTCAGGAATGTAAAGTGAAACTTCTCAGCATGGCTACGGTCTTGTCTTCAGCCACAATCAGCTGAACAAATGTAGAGAGAGGGTAGGATTAGAAGTGGATTTGAATCAGATAGTGATTTAGCCAAAAGAGTATAAGAAAGTGAAAAGAGTCAGGAATGTTGAGAGCATGTGTGAAAGGGAGTACTGATAGCAACTGACCAGGGAATCTAAGCTGGATAGAGAGAGAAGTGAAGTCACAAGGAAGGTGAAGGACAAGCATACATTTCCAGATGCCTACTGAGGAAGGAACTGACAAGAGAGAGTAGAGAAGCATAATCGATGTGGACAGTGAATTCATCAAGAAATAGGACAGCAGCAATACTGGAGAGAGAGAGGGTGAGCCAGGGACAAAAATCTTTCAGGAATAAAAGGCAGCAAAGAGGGTGAATAAAGAAAATAAAAGGGTGAACAGAGGGATGGCAGCAACATGGAGGGGTAGTGGGGCAAAAGCTGCTGACATGAACAGAGCTGCATTCAACACTAAGGATGACATCACCAAATCTACAGCATCTCTCACGGATCAGGGCTGTTTTCCATGTTTTACGGATGATGACACTGAGAATCACCAAGGTTGAACAGCTAGCTTAAGATCACTCAATCCGAGAATGAAATCCTAAACCAGTGAAAAATTAGGAGTAGAAATAACAGTGTTGCACGACCAGAGGCACTGACAACTAGAATGTACAACTTTGTCCTGGGGGTGGGGTATTGGGAGAAGAAGGAAAAAACAAAGAAGATTGGCAACAGATGTTAGTTCAGGTGCCAATCTTTAAAAAACAGAAATAAAAACAAAAAATAACAGTGCGAGGGAATTATGTTGCCTCTAGCCTCCACACTGCCAAGAACACCCTACCATTAAGAACTTTTCCCTCCAGAATTTTCCCTTCCTCACCCAGGGGACTCCTCTCTGGATACCTGCAGACAAGGTACTAATTATGGGAGTGGGACATAGATTCCCCAGAGCACCATCCTTTCTTCTAAGTGACAGGGAGCGTTCATTCCCGTTTCCTCACCAGTGAAAGGACTCGTCAACATCCTTCTCCGTTCTCTACAGCTGCTGTGGCCTTTGAAATCAGGAAGACTATTTCTGATACCATCTCCAGCTAATGCTGATTTGCTTTAGCTTTATTTAGCTGATTTGCTTTATAGATAAGTCCTTGCCTTGTCTACAATCCCTTACAGGGCTCTCCAGAAACAGACACCACCACCTCTGCCTGGCTCCAGATGCTTCACAGGACTCAGGCAGCTTCTTGTCCAAAGACATTCTATTCATTCTTCTACTGACAAGCAAGAAGGCACCCACCCCACATCTTCTTCCTGAAGTGCCTAGCTCTGATCTCAAGCATCCTTTCGGGAAATCAACAGTCATGTAACCGGGGCTTTCTTTCATCCCTCCCACTGACATTTCAAACCCAGAGAATCCAGCGCAGAAGCAAGAGACCAACTTATCATCTGGAAACTGAAGGCCTAAATATCAGTGCCAGAGAGTAACACATGAAGGTACACTTGTTATTACATTGCCCTAGGAAAAAAATGGCCTTGAAGATGAGAAGCACATTCTAGAATACCAAAGGAGTTTGGGGGACACATTATAGAATATTTTCTATAATAGAATTGCCTTCCAGACGCTTGAAAGGAATTATGGGCAGGGGGGTATATGTGTACACCTGTGTCTGAACTATGTATTGGGGAATTTGTATGGACATGTAGTAAGGGTGGTGTCTGTGTGATTTGATTACTGTGTGCCTGTTCCCAGGGTTTGGCATGTTTGGACGGGAAGGCTTGCCTGGCTGAACTGGCCTGTGTCTATGCCATCACAGAATTAGAAAATTCGACTCTGTAACTCAACATCGCTAGCACCATGAATGTTAAGCCTGAATGCCATCTCTTGTACTTTATTCATCTCTATTATGACCCCAATGCTATGAAATTATCTAGAAATAAAGGTCAGCCTTTGCATGTACTCTCATCCTCCGTGGTCCCTAGCATATTAGAGCCTGGCTTATAAAAAGAGCAAGGATCTCAGAATTAGTCAGATTTGGGTTGAAATCTTGAAAAGGATTTACAAGCAGTGTGACCTTGGGCAAGTTATTTAACCTCAGTTGCCCTCCTACCTTACTCTATAAAAGAGGAGAGTTGTCTAATTCTCAGGTCAGTAAAGATCAGAGTTAATATATGAAAAGGGATATAAATTTACCCACCATTCCTGCTGTTACCTAGTGTAGGACCTCTCTAAAAATCCTGTTTCCTGATGTGAAATATGGATGTTTATTTAACACTTATTAAACACCTACTATGCACTAGGAAATGGCAGAGCCAGGACTCAAACTTGGGCAGTCTGACTCCAGAATTCAACATTAATACTTGTTCTGCCTAATGAGAATAAAATAAGAGAACCATATAAACATGATATTTTGTTGGGGGGAAGAGAGTTTTCTCCTCAAAAGTAAAAAATTAGGAAATTACGATTTTTAAATTAAGAGCAATCAATATGATATTTAAACCAAGTTATCTATATAATGATACCTCTCAGGAAACACTCAATAGAAAGATTTCTATGTACATTTTATCTGTCACATCAACCTTTATTGTTTCTGTACCATCAGGAAATTTGATTCAGCACCACTCTCAAGGGTTAAAAGGCTTCCATGTCCCCTTTTCATGTGTTTGAAAAACATTTATTGAAATTAGAGTCAGGGGATAGGACAGGAACCTTAGGGGTCATCTAGTTCAAATTCTTTCTTTTACACATAAAAATACTGAGACAAAGGGAAATGAAGTGACTTTCCCATATCAAATAACTGGCCAAAGGCGGCTATGCTAGGTGGAACCCAGGTGTCCCAACCTCTAGTTTAGTGTTCTTTCCTCTACACAGATGACTTTTGATTTAAGTGCTGATATGCACGGGCCGATCTGTGTTCATCATGATCATCACACTAGATGGTAAGTAGAAGGAACATGGACATCGGAAGCAACCTAGGGAGAGATTCACCACAGATTAGTAGTCAGTAGTCAGTAGTCAGCAGTATAATGGGTTGTATTAATAGAAGTAGAGGACCTCAAACAAAGAAGGTGAGAGTTCTGATCTACCAAGTGTTGGTTATACCAAACCTGGGGTGGATTGCACTTATTTTTAGGCACTATACACAGTCAAAGAAAGAGGAAGGAGGGTCAGAGTGAAATCTGTCTTCAAATATCTGAAGGGCTATCACGTGGGAGGCGGATTAGATTTCTCCTTGTGTCCTAGGAGCACAGCGTGAACCAAGAGAGCGCTGAAAGAGCGCTGATTTGGAAAGCAGACAGGCCTGAGTACAAGTCCCACATAGTCACTCACCGGCCGTGACCGTGGGACAATTTAGCCTTTCTATGTTCATTCATCTATAAAATGGAGATTCGATCTTCTCATAGAGTCTGGTAAATATATCAACTATGGATACTAATATATGGCTATCTTCCTAAACTAAGAGTTCAGATCTGTAAACGAGATTACATCGATACTTTGTAAGTGCTTCCAACCCTTCCCCCACCCCACTCCCTCACGCCCGGGTTTTCCTTTGCTCCTAAGGAATAATGAGACCCTCCTGTATTTCGTCCTTCCAAACATTCTGAGTGTTTTCCTTCCTTAGGCCAACCACAGCTCAGAGGAGCGCTTCCTCCTGCTGGGTTTCTCCGACTGGCCCTCCCTGCAGCCTGTCCTCTTCGCCCTTGTCCTTCTCTGCTACCTCCTGACTCTGACGGGCAACTCGGCGCTCGTGCTGCTGGCAGTGCGCGACCCGCGCCTGCACACGCCCATGTACTACTTCCTCTGTCACCTGGCCCTGGTGGACGCGGGCTTCACCACCAGCGTGGTGCCGCCGCTGCTGGCGAACCTCCGCGGCCCGGCGCTGAGGCTGCAGCGCCACGGCTGCATGGCCCAGCTGTGCGCGTCCCTGGCGCTGGGCTCGGTCGAGTGCGTCCTCCTGGCCGTGATGGCGCTGGACCGCGCCACCGCAGTGTGCCGCCCGCTGCGCTACACCGGGCTCGCCTCGCCGCGCCTCTGCCGCGCGCTGGCCGGCGCCTCCTGGCTCGGCGGCCTCACCAACTCTGCAGCGCAAACGGCACTCTTGGCTGCGCGGCCGCTGTGCGCGCCCCTCCGGGTGGACCACTTCATCTGCGAGCTGCCCGCGCTGCTCAAGCTGGCCTGCGGCGGCCACCGAAACGCCACCGAAGGCCAGATGTTCGCCGCCCGCGTGCTCATCTTGCTGGTGCCGTCCGCCGTCATCCTGGCCTCGTATGGCGCCGTGGCCCGCGCTGTGTGGGGCATGCGGTCCAGCGGGGGCCGGAGGAAAGCGGTGGGCACGTGTGGGTCTCACCTGACAGCCGTCTGCCTGTTCTACGGCTCAGCCATCTACACCTACCTGCAACCCACGCACAGCTACAACCAGGGGCAGGGCAAGTTCGTTTCGCTTTTCTACACTGTAGGCACACCGGCCCTCAACCCGCTCATCTACACCCTCAGGAATAAGGAAGTGAAGGGGGCAGCGAGGAGGCTCCTAGGGAGTCTGGGGAGAGGGCAAGCTGGACAGTGAGTAGGTCGCGGAGGGAAGATACTGTTAGCCCAGGGCCCAAGGATGGGAATGTCCATTGGAAAGTCAACCAGTTTGGCCTTCAGGCTGATCATTTCTGTATGAGGAACTGCAAGGTTTGTCCTCAGGGAGTCCAAGGTTAACGGGGGAGATCCCGTCCTCCTGTCTGCAAATGTTCCTGTGCTTGGGGATAATCCCTATATCCTCTACTTATACAGATTTAGGGAGGGAGAAATGACCCTTGGGCTTTCTCCTAAACTGATGAAAAGAGAACGCGTGATTTGGGGAAGACCTTCTTCATTCTCAGGGGGTGCTGTAACCACCCCTCAAGAGTCCATATGCTGGAAAGATGATGTATGGCGTGACGCTTAACTTCAGCTTTCTGCGAGTCTGATGGAAGAGACCAGGGAAGACCCCGTGATGTCTGCCTTTAGGTGTCTCTCAAGTTGACAAGGAGACCATAGACTCTACCTTACAGGAGACCCCAGCCAGACAAAGGAGCCATGGTCTCTCATCTCAGGAAATCAGTCCAAGCCAGTGCCCACCTAGCCAGGTGACTAGTGCCCACCACAGAGCACCTGACCCATAAGTGTAATAAGAAACACCCATAAGTGTGGGTTGTGCTGGGGAGGGTCAAAATGGGAAACTCTTCTGCAGGAAGTGGTTCTTGAGCAAGTTTTAAAGAAGAGAAGGGACTAGACTAGTGGAGAAGAAGGTGGACATGTCTCAGGCTGGGAGAAAAACACATGCAGTAACGATACATGAGAGAGGGACAGTGAAACAGAGGAGTAAATGAAGGGAGTAAAATGGAGGAAGGGTCTGGAGTTCTCAAGAGAGGAACCCTGGTGGTGAAGGAAGCAGAGAGCTCTATCAGCCAGAACCTGGGCAGAGTGTTGGGGTCAACCCAGAGACCAGCCCCTACGCCCCTCACCCAAACTGAGACCTCCAACCTAGAGAAGACCCACTAGACCCTAAGGAAGGCACGACAGACATTGTTCCACAGTCCCCCACCTTTCAGGAAGTCCGTTGCCTCTCGAAGCACATCTGCCCCCAAGGAGCCCCCACTAGAAACATGAAATCTCTGGATCTCCAGGAAAAATAGCTTTCTATGCCCACCATCATCCCCAGAAATAAGAACAGTTTAATTGGGTTTAATTAGAGAGTAAGAGGAGGCAGAGTACCAGGTTTTATTTCATACCAAATAGCTTTAAGTAAGGAGAAGAGAATTAGTTGAATTGTGTTCCTAAATTCTTTATTAATTAGATTGTAATCATGTCAGAGTAATTAATTCACTTCATAATAAATCATTTCACTGTTCTCTATAAGTAGAAATTTAATTTGGTTCAACAATTATTGAGTGATATAATACATGAAGCACTGGGCTAAACTAAGTGGAAACATAGAAATTAGTGAAACATGAATCTCAACCTAAAATTCACTATCTTGTTGGATGGGAAAGAAAATAGGAGTTTTTCTATAAATCAGAGGGAACCAAGAAGCAAGCTGGCTTTGAATGCTATCTCTAATGTGCCTTAAAAATATATTTTGTTGTAAGTAATATGTGATACGCAATCGTACCACTTAATCAATGGTTAGAATCAAAGAATCATAGTTGGAAAGTATTCTGTAGTCTCCCTCCCTACTTCACCCCAAATCTCCTGCTATTTTTCTCTTTCTCATTAGTTTCGGGAAATAATCAATGGATGTGGTTGGTGAGTTAGAGCTAAAAGGAAATAAACTCCTTTGCTCCTCATATCACCCCCGCCCCAGGCTGGTCAACCCCCAATGCAGTGGGATGTCAGGAAGAGTAAACTGTCCTTTCTGATGCCATAATCTGCCATGGTCTTCCCATCTTCCAGTTTCTTTCCATTGCAAGTCACGATCTGTTTCTTAGGAGATATGGCGGTCTTGGCCTTGATCATCTCTTTCACCTGGGCCACTGAGCTGGACCTTCGCACCTGGAGGAGGTACCTTTGCCCCTCATCACCCGACTCCACCAGAGTCACGTTCAACTCCTCATCACTGGGCTTCACCACCTTCAGGGTGAGGTGGATGGTCGTCTCCTTGTCAATGCCATAAGATGATAGCTTTCTCATGGGCTTAAGAGTCTTCGAGCCCAGGAGAAGAATCTGGTCCTGCACGGGAACCTTGGTCTTAGACCGGACATGTTCGTTAATCTTCTTCACTCTGTCATACGAGTTGGCATTGAAGGTCATCAATTTCCATTGCTCAGAATGGACATTCACCTGGACAACAAAGGTCAAGAGACAGTTGCCTAGATTGCCTGCCACCCTTTACACCTCTTGTTTCCCCTCCCCAATTGCTCCTGCCCTTCTGATCCTCTAGCTTTTTTACAACAAGCTGTGTCCCTCCCTTTCTTGGAACCTCTCTTTTTGAATTTCCAGGTTATAACACAAACAATAAAAACAGTCTTATCCCTTTATAGCTATACCTCTTATCCATCTCAAAATGTCATTTATGATTTCCCACCTTATTCACGTGCATCCTGTCCAGAGAAACTTCATCAAATGTTAAAAACTAAATACAACTACAAGGCATCCAAAGATGTACATCAGACTCTAAAAACAACTCCCAAAGAGAATTTCCATAACTTGACATCCTAACAGGATACTCACACGGTTGCCCTCCATGACTTCTTTAGAAGGAAACCCTGGTTAGGACACTTATTCTCTGTACTGTTAGTTTCTTTTTTAATGTTTTCTTGCTTTAAAATAATAATTTCCATATTACAGTGACACTATGTTCAATATTACTTGTCCATCTGTATTTCCTGTGTTTTTGTATCTGCCTATTGTACAATATGATCCCTTCCTTTAATTAGACCAGGACCTCGCTCACAGAAGGTAGGAACTACATCTCAGCCTTACTTCAATAATCTGAAAATGAGGAAGCTCACTCCTGTGGTGTCACTTGAAAGCCTGGGAGGACCTCCCTAATGCTCTGTTCAAAAATGCCTTCTCAATCTAGATGTCACAGGCGTTTATTCACTGGACTGTCACTCCTCTGTGCAAAGCACTGCCCTCATTCCAGGTTCTCTTTCAAGTGCATCTATTCTTATATAAGGTAATGTCAGATCAATAACAACTTAGGGTAAATGAGTTTTGTGAACCTCTCCTTTTGGAGGAGAAGGAAGCTTAAGTTTAAGAACTCTGGACCCTTAAAAAGGATAAGGGACAGAGGGCTCAAAACAGTATTTCCATAGTTCCAAATCTCACCAGCCCTGTTGAGCACAAAGCCCACTCCAACTTCCTACCGTTTATCCCTAACAGTGGCCAGTCCAAGGTCTGACATAAAAGAGAACTCAGGAGCCAAATGACCAGCTTCTCTTCAGAGAACTTTCCTTCACATTCTGTAGATATCAATGCCTCTCTTACCCCCTTCACAATGCCTTCCCAGACACCCTACCTCCCTGAGCACTGTCCTTCATCCATCCCTGAACTCTCTCCCCAGCTCTTGGAGCTGCTTTCCCTTTCTCCATCCCCATTATCAAATCCCAAACTTACGCAGAGGCCAGAAGCCATCTCAGCAATCAAGGGAGTAGAAACAGGAGTCTGAGGAGACTGAGAGCGCACCCAGCTTATGTACAAGCAGCTGAGTTGGAAATCCCCTTCCTGGACTGTTGTGTTTGTCTAGATTTCCTCTGCACTTTGTTCTTGCATAACCTCATGAATTTTCTTTCACTTTTGCTTAAGTAGAGTCAACAAAGAAGACCTTTTGTTCAAGCCCTTCTCCCTCAGCCAGTACATTTGGCCTCCTTATTCCAAACATGGGATGGTGCTTCTCTGTTAAGAATTTTTCTCTGATTAACCCACCACTCCAAGTCCTGACTTATGACCATTCCGCCTGCTTCCCTGGGCCCTCACTGACTTGAAGACCTTTAATAGTTGGTTGTCCTCTCCTCCTGCTTTTCAGACCCACCCCCGCCCCCATCAGTCAGGGGCCTTCCTGAGAACATGTATGCCCAGGAGAGGACAGAGCTGGTGTGCAGTGATGTGACTGTGAGCAGCCTGTTCACACTAGCCCGGCAGGATGTGTGAAGCAGGCTTGAGAAGACAAAGTATAAATAACCCTGGACTAAGAAGTGTCGAGGGTGCCACTTACTACATTACCTTGGGCAAGTCTGTGCACCTCCTTAGATGTTGGTTTTCTGATCTATAAAATGAGATGATTGAGAGAACTCCTAAATGTCTTCCAGGCTCAGACAACTTTGTGTATAAAATGTCCTCTACAAAGAAATTTAGACTCTTGGGTCTTGAGGTCCACCACATACTTTCCCGTCCCAGAATCTGCAAACCAAATCTGCTACTTGAGAACAATCCAAAGCCTACAGTCAAATGCTTACTCCACCTTCCATACACTAAAACCATCACACATCCACTCTCACACCTCAGTGCCTCTGTTTCCCCAGCTGTCCTCCTGGGCTCTCCTCCCACTGTGATCACAGATACCTAAGGTGCTGCTCACTCCCTGGCCCTTGAGATTGGGATAGGGACAAAAAGAAGGTGCATGAGCTGTGTGCCCTCAGAGAATTTGCTCAATATCACTCTGATCCTGCTAACATTCCAAATTAATCACTCCTCTCTCCCAGACTCTCAGGACATTGCCACAAAAAAAATATTTTTTCAAAAAAGCATTTATTAAAAGTGCTCCAAACATTTTTCAAAGTAAAAAGTTCATGAAAGGGGCTGGCCCCCTGGCATTGTGGTTGGGTTCGTGCACTCTGCTTCGGCGGCCTGGGTTCGTCATTTGGGATCCTAGGCACAGACCTACACACCACTCATCAGGCCATGCTGAGGTGGCATCCCACATGGAAGAACCAGACAGATGTACAACTAGGATCTGCGATTATGTACTGGGGCTTTGGGGAGAAAAAAAAAATGAGGAAGATTGGCAACAGATGTTAGCTCAGGACCAATCTTCCTCACCAAAACAAGGACACTTAAAAAAAAAAAGCTAGTAAAAATGCCAAGTTATCATCTTTG